TTATCATTTACAAAGCTAAGACAAAATGGTACAAACTGAAACTTTAATTTACGACATGAAAGGATTTATAAATAAATGTTTTTGGTTTTGTTGTTACAATTGAAATAGTCGACTGTAAATAAGAGCTTGTGACATTTTAATGGATTTCTTATTTGATATTTCTTTGTTTTTTGTGTTGTTTTTTTAACACTCGTTACTCGTTGATATGTCTGTGCATTGGCACGATTTTCCAATAGGTAATTTTCCGCCAACAACGACGCCGTCATGCACTTTTGTCACCTTGTGACAGTTGTTTGACTCCATTTGACTCTTTGGAGCGCGCCAGTCAAACAAACAGGCAAGCGACCAAGCGAACGAACGGCGGAAAAGTGAACGGACAGATGGACCAAGTGACAACGGGTCATGTTGGCAGAACCGGGTGGCAGACAGCGGGCGAGCGTGGCGCGGCACGGTTATTTGAGTATCGAAGATATATAAATGAAAAATGTGATCGCTCGCGGCGCCTGCGCAAGACACTGCACAAGGTAGTGAGGGGCAGCGGGGCAATACACATATAAACTTAATATTATGGCAGACAAAATGGACAAATATACAATTGAAAATGTATTATTTTAAAATTGTTTTTTTTTCGATTTGGTTTTACTTACAGTCTCGACTCATGCCCGCCGAGAGGCATTTCTTGAAGCGACAATATTGGCAACGATTTCGATTCAAACGTATCACCAGACATTTACCATCACGCAGGCAACGATATTCAATTTGTTTTTGTATGCTGCGACGAAAGAAACCCTGCAAAATGAATAGTAAATGGAAATTAATTTAAAATAAAAAATAGAAAAATCCATTAGGTTTTGTTGTTGGTGTTTTCCGTTTTCAATTGTTTGTGTTTGTATGTGTGGGTGTTTGTGTGTGTATCTCACCTTACAACCCTCGCACGAGGTTACACCATAATGGTAGCCGGACGCTTTGTCGCCACAAACTTTGCACGGCACAAATGATTTCGTAACGCTGTTGGAATTGGAGTCCGCTATGGCAAATTGCTGATCTGTAATTGGAGTGCACAAAAGTGTTTAATGTTGCAGTTGTAGATTAAAAAAACAAATCGAAAATCACTGTTTTTACTTATGATCTTTAAAATTATAACATTTTTGCTTATAGTAATATATACATGCATATATAATAAGTAGGGTGGCTCAAAAAAAAATAATGTTTTTTTTCGCTTCGTACTGTGAAAATTTGGTTGATGGACACGTCTAAGAAAGACTCTCCAAGTATGAGCTCTTAATTGTAATGGGAAGGTCCTTCGCCAAACGGTTTGCTATTTTTTTTCTTATTTTTAGCTAGAAACATTCATATCTCGCTTCCAGAGTCAGTAATATTCAGTCAGTAAAAAGCATAAGAAGAAGATCCAACAT